ACCTACATTGCTCACCACAGAACTTACCGACTGTACTACAAAACATGGTGAGTACGATTACTAAGAAAGTTTAGTGTCACAGCTTAGAACTAATCAATCAAATACTGTAAACCTGAATTCTTTAGAATTTAATTGGTGGATGGTGACTAGTAGTGGAATCCAGGATGCGCATTTCGTCCTATTTTGGAGTCGTCCTCTAGATGTACCTGCATTTCCCAGTGAGTGATGATGTTCCCCTCGAGGCTCGAACACACAGCACATTTACAACTCAAAGAAAAGTAATGATTCCTTTAAACCAACACCCTTGGCCACTGAGCCAATCTGGGATAATACTGGAGTTGTGTTCGCTCTGGTGTTAGCTCAACACAACAACAATATTCGACTGGTGAACCGTCTACTGCTCCTTCATTGAACACCCAGAAGACTTAGTGAGAAAATATTTATTGCTTCCTGGTGAAAGTAATATCACTAGAAATCACAGCTATTTGCATAGTCATTTTTAGGCAAACAGTAAACTGCTAGTTAGCGATATAAAAAGTGTTGGGCATGAACTAGTAAAATTTACCTGACCTGCCGTTTAATCTACACTAAAGTCAAACGTTTGGTTTACAAGTTGCATAGTAAATGAGTCCTAATATATATCTCTTCCCATCCAAACATTATCAACACTGTAGGAATACCTTGATGATCAGTGCTTACAAGAATGATACTTAGGTGTCATAAATGCCTTCGTTCTAGTTAACTTGAGAAATTGGAAAACTTTTCAAGTATTGGTTTTGTAGGGATTATGTTTGATTGCATGGAGGATTTCATCATGAGCTGACATCAGTTAGAGAACCACTGGAAAACCCGGGAGTACCGGACAGCTGTTCCACCTGTTCTCTAACTGATGTCAGCTCATGATGATATGCTCCATGGAAATTTGAAAACCCTAAACTAAACACTTCACATTGTCATCACTTGGCTAAGTAATCAGATTCCAAAGTTTATCCGTAAACTCCGATTGAAACTGATTATTTAGCATATACATCGGTTGTCATCCTGCAGTGTAGCAAAGTACAACTCTGGTGTAGTTAACATAATAGGCCAAACCAATATTTGTGATCAAAAACTGACGAAAAAACATCTGTTGATATTACTCAAAAACGCTTGCGTACTCATAAAGTTTTCACCTCCTATCCTCAGTGACTTTATGGATGATAAAGTTCATATTTTAAAATTCCAGCCGGCTATTAGAGGATTTTGTAAGTTGTTAAGAAGACAATTGCAGCGAAGAAAATTTTCTTTTCAACGAAGTCATCATCTAGGCTGTACATTCGTGTATTTGTATCAAATGGATGGGAAAGTTCCAAAGTAATTTCCGGTCAAGAGTCAAATTAATAAAAATTACAATTAGGAATTAGGATGCCATAATAAACAGGGGGGGCGGATAAAACAAACAAAGTAGCATCATGATAGCTAAGAAGATTGACATTGTGCAATTGGGGGTTAGAAATGTAGAAATAACAAAACAGACGGGATGTTTGGATAAAATACTAATGTGATGAATAATTGTTTATGCAATCAGGGATTAAATATGTAGAAATAGTAAAGTGACAAAAACACGAAGTTCAGGTATGAAAATATGGTAGTGTAAACAGGAATTCAGAAAAACTTAAAAAATAAGATGAATAAACAGGAAGTTTAGATAAGAAAGGCGATGGGATGGTCATTACTAAAAGATAATTACCTGTTTATGATGGCCATGGCAGGGACAGGGGTTGGACGTATTTCTTTTGGATACAAAGTGTGTGTTTGAGCTTTTGGATAGCTAGCGCCTCGGCTATGCCCAGATGTCTTGATTTCACTCCCTTTGATAGGTTTGAGTGAATCATGTATATGATTTTGAAGGATTTTTATTCATTTGATCCTTGACCGGAAATTATTCTGGGACTTTCCATCCATTTGATATAAATACACGAATGCACAGCCTAGTTGACGGTAACTTCGTCGAAAATAAAATTTTCTTCGCTGCAATTGTCTTCTTAATAACTCCTATGACCCATTGTGTATATTCCGTGATTTTAGAAGTCACAGAGGTAACTGATAAATCTGTTTTCTTTCTCTCCAATTCATTCCTCATTTTATGCATGATTCAAAAGGAATACAATACAGTTTAATAAATGAATGAAAGCTAAGCTTATTGCCTAATAGGTTTCATTACATTACACATTAGGATCATACAACAATTGTATCCTTTGTATAATATAAATGTCCAAAGATGAAGGATTTTGTACTAAAATAATTCACCATTAAAACAAATCTCAGAGTAACCTAACTAATCTGATGTTCATGTAGTATATTTTGTATCCTAAGTGCTCATTAATATCTTAATATCCTAATGAAACGATTATATCAGTAACTCTAGGAATGTTACTGTTAATGACTACTTTAGTTATGCATTTACTTCATATCTTCACAATACGTATACATATATTTTTTTGTAAACATTTGTTTGTATATATTTCTGTGTAGACTGTATAATTGCATTTGTGTATAGACTTTCTCTGTTAATAGAGCAGGTTCTCATTAATACAAATCAGATAATCCAATCAATAATCATATTTGATTGAAATTAAGACTAATTGCATAAAATGAAAACTTACTCTTCCTATTACTAATACTACTACTCATAACAATATACTAATAAAAACAATAGTTACATGTACTGCTTAAAATTAAGTAACAACAATAATAATAATTATTATTCTCACTTGTTTATGCTCTACTTTTCGTCATTAGATGCGAAAGATACGTGTGGACGTATTGTTTACAGCTCTGTATATAAATAAGTAAACACACTTAAATTATAGGAAGCGGCTAAAACCTACTGAAACAAGCCCATACCAGCTAAAATTGGCTTAAACCAGTTCGCATTAACTACACTGCTGGGCCGAGGTAGAACACTCAGTACAATGTGATTGGAAAATCTAGAAGCCCGACCCTATGCAACGAATATAATTATTTGTTAGCTTAACTTTCTGAGGTATGCAGTGCTTGCGCAAAGTTTTTTTTGGTAATTCACGGACCAGTATGTCTTCTGTCTTTGTTCGCGTGAGGTCTGGGGGCATGAAATAACTAATGGTCGGCATCAGTATCGAACCCATAAATCAATTGTATTATTACATCATCATGGATGTGCTAAATATAATTACGTGCACAAATGATAGACGAATAGCAAACATTGTTCCATTTTACGACATAAATATTAAGCAATAGTTAATGAAAGTGTAGAGTGAATTTTCTGCAGTGGGATTGGGCTTATTGCTAACAGTACATAAAGTTTGTTTATGTCAGTTCTACTCTTCCCGTCTATTGATTATACCTAAGTGTTTGTCCTCTGTTGAAACATCACCACATACCATATAACATCATATCAGTCATCAGACATAGTCGAAGCATCCGTACTAGAAGACTATATATCATCAGAGGCTGAACATCTCCGTCCAATCAATCAACAGGAAAAACAAAACTGATTTCTGTCGCACAAGAGGTGGGGCTTTTGAGACCTAAGTGGTCTAGTGAATAACAGTCTAATCTTCAGAGCGATGGGTACTGCGTTCAAATCTCAATGGGAACACTATCACTTACTGAGGATTGTAGGTAAATAGGCTTGGCGAATCATAAACAGGGAGAAATTTTACTTATTTATTTAAGTGCAGAAAAACTTGGTACAATAAGGCATACAACAATAATAAAACAATACAGATTAAAAGTAAAAATATGAGTGGAGAACGGAAAAAACTTCATCAGGAAGGAAAAAGCCATACTTAACAAGTTCAAACAGTATTCGTTATATATCATCATGAAGGAAAGAAGGAATGAAATCGCAGCACGTTCACCATCGATTACGATTCTCGGCCATATTCGATAACGTTTCGAGCCATTGATTCGAGCTACCTCGCGGACTCCAACCAGGGAGACGTGAAGCACCAACCACTGCCAACCTAGCTAAAATATCCTTCATCCCATGATGCCGCGTCATGGACTGATCACCTCTCCGCCTTTTCCACCCCGTCCCAGGGCTAGTGAACAGAGACCCGTAAGGAAGCCTCTGGGGTGACATTCGCAGCACATATCCAAGCCACCGGAGCCGGTGTTTCCAGATGACGATACTCAATGAATGGTGATCTCCACTGTATTCAAACATACGCCGCCGAACCTCAAAATTACTCACGCGATGATGCCATCGAACGCAAGCAATCCTGCGGAGACAGCGATGATCGAATATGCAGAGCCACCGCACATCCTCAGCTCGGAGAGGCCAGGTTTCACAGGCACAGAGCAAGACAGCCCTCACCGAAGCATTGTATACCCGACCTTTGACAGCCAGGCTAACGTCGCGACGGCGCCAGAGGTGGCTCAAGTTGATATGTGCCACCCTAGCCTTCATTATATGGTTGGAAATCTCATCCGTCACCCCTCCGCCAGAACTCACACAATGCAACTGTAATGCAGATACACAAACTTATCAACAACTTCAAGCGGTTCACCCGCAAGAGTGAGTGCAGGTACAGGCTCCTGCCAATCTTGTAACAGTACTTTGCACTTAGACGGCCCAAAGCAAATACCATACTTACAGACACTGATCGCCAACTGATTAAGTGCGATTTGGGCAGCCCGCATGCTATCGCACAGTAAGACGATATCGTCTGCATACTCGAGGTCGAAAAGTCTATCTCCAGGTAGCAGATCTACACCACCTTCATGCACATCCCTTAGAGCTAACTGCAGAATGTCATCGATGGCAAAGTTAAAGAGAAAGAGAAATATGCATTCTGAATTCCACTGTTAGTCATCATCCACCAAATAACAGTACGGAAGATTCTACAGTGGCTTTTACAGGGTGTTACCCCAGAATTAACTTTGTTTATGTGCTGTTAAGCAATGAGTACTGTTATCTGGAGACTACTGTTTGTTTTATTATGTTTTTAAAAAGAATTTTTCCATTCTATTTTCAGATATAAACTTAAAGTAATAACGTTTGTGTTGCCCTGTCAGCAGAATGAATAAGCCACTTCCTATTCCCAATGCTGACCTACAAGAAGTCCTACAAGAATTCATCTGCGATTTAATTGATTCATGTCTAATGGATGATATTCTAATAATGCATCGTGCAATTAAACTAGGATATTTTCATATTATTGCTGCTGAAACAAATCCCGATTCTACTGATAACAGTGATTTTGGCACTTCAAAGTCAAGTTCTAGCAGAAATTCAAACAAAACTACAAATTATTGTCGATGTGGAAAGTGTAACTCTAAGGTTGCTGCAACACGCTATGCTGCTCATTTGGCTAACTGTATGGGTTTGGGAAGAAACAGTTGGAGACAGGCAAATAAGTAAGTGGAACCCACTCTGAAAGTGATATTTTCAACCAATGTATCATTTTGGGCCTTTCTACTTAATTTTTTTTAAAACTGATATTATAGGATTGCTGTAGTTGACTGTGATAAAAATTGTCACACTGACAGTTGTCAACTCAAACCCTTTAAAAATGACGTTTTTCTTCTCTGAATCCCTTGCATATCAAATACACATTCTAATGGTTTGTCCATCAAACTCTTGATTGGTTATTGTAATAAACTAAAGTGGCTTTTCTTTTTTACTTAATAATAATTTTCTCATTTCAGTGTGTTAATTCCCTTATTTTTTCTTAGGCGTATAGCAGAACATTGTCGCTTAGAAGACAGTGATGCGGAAACAGAAGAAAATCTTCTTAAATCATCGTCTGGAGACATGGTTACTAACAAGAGTGCTGAAACTACATCTGATCGAGTCGAATGCAGATACTCCAACAAAGCAATCAGTCGTCACCAGTTGTCACCGTTGAAACCTACAAATTCTCTGGTATCAAATGGTTCATCGAAACGTCGGGCAAGCTGAGATAAAAAATGGTGACTATGCACTACGCTGTTGTGATGAAAGTGACTCAGTAAAATTAGTTCCAGCCTCTTATGGTCTAATCTGGGTAATATTGTAAACAATATATTTTTTTAAACAAGTTTTTAGTTGAGGATCTAATCTCTATATCTTTTCAGATGGTCGGACTTTTTATCTCATTATGTTTTCATCATACGAAGTTACACTGCTTGTGATGAACTGTATCATGAAATCGCTCAGCTGTTCGCTAATTTATTGTATTAGTGTTGCAATTGGTGATCATTTCCATAACAGAATGTGTCAAAGGGTTTCTTATACAATACTAAGTAGAGTAGGCCGAAATGTGTGTTTCAGTAACTGCTGTTGAGTGTTTGGCATTACCATACTACAAATAGGATTTCATTATATTACCGATTTTATTTCATCCGAACTGATAGCCAGTTAATTCCCTATACATATGAACACATCATCCATATAGTTTTCAGTATCACGACTGATAAAATAGCAATTATCTAAAAAGACATTATGTCTAATCCAAGAGTCACCGAAATCTCAGAAATTTATAAGGGAAAGCGACTTCTTCTAAATTTCAGGTAGATATAGATGGATAACACTTGTAATTCGTTATTATTGTGTTCACAAAATATGATGCAGCGTTTGCTGAAATACCTAGAATTAATCTATAACAGAAACCGAATAGTTCTCAGAAGTCTTTTCTGGCAAGCTTTAATCAATCAGCTTGGAGACACTATAGTTGAAAGACTTCAGAACTCAGTTTAGAAATGAAAATTCAAAATTCATATTTCAGAATGAATTGGCCAGGCAGACGGAAGATATTACTTATCTTGGGCAAGTCTACACCGTCCACAGTATTTTCTTAAAGTAGTGTCTGAGACTGAAGTAACCTTCTTTAAAGGATTCTGTTGATCTCAGTAACCTGAATGAATGTCCCAAGACTATACACCGGCATATTTCGCTTGCAATAATAAGCATAAAAAGATTACAAGTACGACGACAAGAAGATTGTACAACGACTGTCAGTCATCGGAAATAACAAAGGACAGAAAAAGAAAAATCCAAGATAATATTGGGGAATTCTGTTACTAAGAAGTCGTTGTTATTGGCTGATGAAGATAGATCATGGAAACACTGAGGGAGAACAAGAAAAAGTGGTTACTATTCAGTCTTAAAATAAGCTGAAGTACGCATATAGGGCCTTGCACTTTTGTAGATCACGATTATAAAATCATTCCAAATAGAGACTATCCAGGAGGCGCTGTTGGCTAGTTTGAACAATGAATGAACGAATAAGCTTGTAAGAAAAAAGAGCTGATTTTATCTCATTTTCCTTCCTTTAGATATAAGTGGCACAGAAATGACGTAATTTATTACAAATGCGAATAAATAACATCAAAATTGTTTCTTAGTGTAATAATATTAGAAAACGCGATATGAATGTATAGTGGTTATTGATTAAAGAGCTAGAGTTTATTTATACGTAATGTGATGGAGAATTCGGTAAGAAAGGGTGGAAGTGAAAAGATATTGTAAGCAAAAGTAAAGTTGTTAGGTAGACAAACAGTTGAGTAAATTGGAAGATTGGTACTGAGTTCAACTCAGTGAGTGAAAGTCAAAGTTACATGCAGATCATGACTCAACAATAAACAGGAAGGCAAACAATTAGCTCAGCAAAAAGATTCTTTTCGGTGCCATGAACATAGTCGCTAATAAAAATTAGTACGTAAGGGAAGTTGGATAAGATTATCAAGTTACGCAATGAGGGAATTTATTTAATGAATGCTCTGTAAGCAGGATGTTGCATAAGTCAGAAAGAATTAAAAAGCAAGTAACAAACTTCTTTTAAATAACAGGGTCATTACCGTGGTAGCAGAGCTGTCTGAGAAATCCCCTTCTGTATGCAGAGCTCTGATTTTTTTTATCTAGACGGCTAGAGCCTGTGCAATGCACAGGATTAGGAACTTTATTTTGGTTGGCAGGTTATTCTTGACTTTGTAGGTTACTTTGAAGGAGAAATTTGTTGGGATGCAGAGACCATTGTTGACAAAGAGTTCAGTTATTACACTCTTTATGGAGCCTCTGTTAACCTCCTGCAGTTGCGAAGGACAGTGTTCTTGAACACTTTTAGACAGGATACTCGTTAGACGACTGATGTATACACATGGAAGTGGTCGGATGGGAGATCTTGCCTTTCAGACATCTGCAGACTAACACGAGATTGGAGAACATATCTCTCAGCGTAACCGCGAATTATGTTCCCAAAAACTGTTAAAATTCGTCCCTTAAGGACATCATAGAATAGGACACTCTTGAAGAAAGATTCTTGTAAAGTTCGTTTTTATACACTGATGATGTCTTTTGCCTCTGGATTTTATGTTCTTTTCACTTAGTCTGGATGAATGTCCATTTTGGATGAGGATTTCTCTCAGAATATTTAATTCTTATTCTAAAGTGTCAGAGCTGAGAAAACTTTGGAGACGAGTGTCAAATGATATAATTAAAAACTACACTCCGTTTCCATACAGTCGGTACTCTGCTGTAGAAACTTATCAGCTGACGGTTCCATGTGGGTATTTTTCAGATGGGCTTTCATAGGCCTTTGTCTGCTCTTCTTAGTGATTTAATATCAAGAAAAGGGATTTTGGATTCGATTTCCATTTCAAGAGGGAATCTTATTATTAAACTGTAGTTATTAAATACCTGTAACGACTTATTAATGTCATGACTGTTATGAAAAAATGGTAAAAATGTCGTCCACATACCTTCTATACAGTTGAAAATTATCACTAATTGATTTCAGTGAACCATTCTCGAGACATGTCATGAAAGAGTCAGCTAACAGTGGGCCCACCGCGAACCTATCTTTTCGTCTGTAAATTATATCATGGAATATAAATTGTATATTAACAGTACATTTTACTGAAGAGAGTTTCATCCCTGAACAACCTGTTATCATTTTCAATAATGCTTGTATAGAAATTATTCATGAATTAAAAAGTAGAGAGGATACTGTGACAGTCAAATGCCGAACACCTCGTAACTAGGGTGATTTAAAACGTGTTATTCTGTGGTATATTCGAAAAAAATCAATATACTTAGTAAGCAGAGATTCCGTCATCAGCTGAAATTCCCAGGAAAGCAGCTTTATATAATGGAATATTAAATACGTATTCACTTCCAGTTTAAACTTCATTATCATCTAACACCGAATGGAAGACTCTAGCTCTGACGAAGTATATTATCAGTAGATAACACGAGATCCAATCCAATAGGTTATTATTCTAAATCATGTTTATTCAGCAATACAGCACACACACTCCATCCAGAGTTATCACTGAATAGCAGCCATGCATGTTAATAACTGACCCTGTAACACGGAATAGATGTTGAAAAACATGGGCCGTTAGATTCAGACCTGACGGCTGAATTTTGTCTGTTTTCAGTAGTCCGCATACTATAAGCTAAGTTTTGATTACATAATTGATTGAGGTACTCTGTATGAAAGGTACTTATATATTTATCTTATAGTGAAATCTCACGCCAAACGTACCTTATTTGATTTGTTATTTTGGGATAATTATCGTATTCACTTAACAGTACTTCAAGATAAAATCAGATCAATATTCCTCATTGATTTGTTATCTTCATATGCTCTTATATTTAAAAATACCTTACTTGATGGTGATAGCTATGATACTTTACCGGTGAAATGTTGATTCAATTAGTGATTGGATTCCAGAATCCATCTGATATAACTTCAGGCTAGTAACATGAAATTCTCTGTTTCAGAGGATGCTATAACCTGGGCTTTCATTTCACCTTCTTGTCATCATGCAGTACATCAATAGTGTTTAGTCAGTTCAAAGCTATCCCAGATAATCTTATCATAAGATATGTTCCTTTTGAGTTAGTAGTAAGAAGTATCAGATTCTAGAGACAGAAATTCTAACCGGTAACATAAACGTGCTGTTCTCCTTCAATCACATGATCATATCAAAGCAGTGATGTTTCTAGAGTATATTCAACAAACTTACTTCTAAAAGACATTTTATTAACTTATTATTATTGCTCCCTTGGGTTTCTAGTGGAACATAGGGCTTCAACTGCACGTCTTCACTTGCTTCTGTCTTTTGCTGTACTTTTCACCTGCATTCATGTTAGTCCATACTGTTTCAACTCCTCTTCACACGATCTCCTCCGTGTCACCCTTGGAGGTTGATGAATATTTGGGGTACTCCGTAGTACTCGAGTAGTTTCCAAATTACTTCATGGCCAACGCTGTTGAAGGCCTTCTCAAAGTCTATAAAACTGAGGTACAGGTTTGATTGCTATTCCATGCTTTGTTCGGTCAGTACGTGATTTTCCTTTCCTGAATCCAGCTTGTTCTGGTCGGAGTTCTGTATCCAGTGCGTCCTTTATTCTCTAGGATGATGCGACTCAGGATTTCACTTGGCATCGACAGCAGCGTGATTCCTCGCCAGTTCTCTCAGAGTCCTAAGTCGCCCTTCTTTGACAGTTTCACAAGGTAACCTTTCCACCAGTCAGTAGGCACCTTTCCCTCCTCCCAGACCTTTTGCAATAATGGAGTCAGCATGGTGACATCATGATGGCCACTCCCTCGGTGTGCTCGTGGTTGCCTTCTGGGTGACCAGAATAGATTACTGTCTCTCCAGTTGACAGTTGACACCTTCCACATCCGTTCAATCTGCTCTCACAGATTCCCAACACTTCTACTCTATATCTTCTCATTTCTGCGGCTACCTGGATAGCCTTTCCAGTTTCGTACATTGTACGAACATTCCCATCCTTATTTTTGTTTTCATCGAAAGAAGGCACATCGGCTGACTGGCTTCCCGAAGGCTTACACCAGCCTGCGTCATTTCACTTCCCTGATTCCAGAGAAAAATAAGGTTATTGTTTATATTTTTAGAATTTTTAATATATTTATATGTTGAAGTTTCTGTAGCAATTTGGTTAAGTTTTAAGGGTGGAGCTGCTAGCACTACGCTACAACCCTCCGTCTTTATCCGGGCTTGGGACCGGCTAGAAAACTGGCGAGCTAGTAATCTAA